ACTCTTTCCACTTTGTCTCTAGTGTCCATAACGATTTTTAATGCTTGTATGTCCTCCAGTCTTTCAGTCTCCACCACAGAGTGCAGACAGTCGGTATATGTTAAGGTGAGACATACAATGTCTCTCTTTCATAGCCTGACTTGCTTCACTCAGAAAAATATGGAACGCGTCACGAATTTGCATGTCATCCTTGCGCAGGGGCCATGCTGATCTTCTATGTATCATTCCAATTTTAGTTTATGTGCTGCTGAAGTAAGCACCAACATTTTTTTTAACACCAAAATAAATTTTTAATTTAATTTCACTTTTCCCATGCATGAACTTTTTGAAGTCCTCTTATATAGACCTCTGGTTTTCTAGAGTTTATATTTTTACGTAAGTCCACGAAAATCCAGTTACTAGAAACATTCGTCATTGTCTCAGGAACCAAATCACTTTTGCAGTGTTCCATAATAGAGAATCGTTCTTTCGTTCAGCTCATTTCATTTGGAAACAGTGGGGCTTAATTTTTCTGGAGTCAGTGGAAATACATTTCTTTCTTATGGGAATTCTTTTACATGCCAGCCTTACAGAACATGAGATTTCTTGGTTGAGTTCTTCTAAATTATTTAAAATCCTCCTTTGCAACATTTAATGTCTCTGAGGAATAGCACTTGTCTTTTAGTCTGGGAACCAGTCCAGTAATTAAAGAGGTGGAAATAAATGTTTATAATCTGTAATCATCTAGGTGTAAAAATGAAGATAGCTTTTGAGAAATCACTAGGATTTTGTACCTTTTTTGCATTTTCTAACATTTCTTTGTTCTACCCCACTACAAAAAGACATCAGTTGTAAATTTGACGTGTAGAGGTTGAGAGAAGTGTGTAGCCGCAGTAATGTTTGATTTGCTTCTCCTGAGCCGTCTTTTACTGCCTCTGACTGTGATTTACAATATAACTGCTTCTGGGCCAGCAGGTGGCATGGAGGTTAAGGTGGCTGGATCCCACATGGCCACCTGTGCAGTCTGAGTCCTAGACCCAGTGGCTTGAAAAATAATGGGTCAGGGCCAGCAGGTGGCATGGTGGTTAAGGGTGCTAGACTCCCACACGGTTGACTGTGGTTTGAGCCCCAGACCTGGCGGCTTGCTTTCTGACTTCCTCTCTCTCTTTGTCGTCCTCTGGGACAAATTAGAAATAAGTAAGTAAGTAAATAAATAAAATTAAATGAAATAATTCTTAAAGAAAAAAAATGCAGTGTTTGTATCTACGTGCCCAAAACCCCAACAGGAGGAGAAGGGATTGTGGCTTGATCATCCCCTCTGGTGGTGGTTTCTTACTTCCCTTCTCTCCCTCTCTCTTTTTTTTTTTTTTTTTCTCTCTCTCTGGTGAGTACACACACCCTATAGCAAACTAAAAAACAACAATAGAAAAAACAAAAACAGAAGCCTAAAATACAAAAAATAATTAATTACTCCAGCCTGTGGTGTAAATTTAAAAAAAAAATTAGTTTTCCTTTGATATTTTAAAAATACTGTTCGGCAGCCAGTGGCATGGTAGTTAAGGCAACTGGATCCCACATGGCAAACTGTACAGTTCAAGACCCAGACCCCCAGCTTGAGAAACATGCCAGGTGTGTGTTCCTCTGTGCCCCACATTGAAGGGGCTCGTTTTCCTTGCCAGGTCCTATCAGTAGAAACATGGCTCAGTATATCTGGTTTTAAATCAGTTTGGTCTCGTCTGTATGTAGTAGTTTATAAATAAGTGAAAGGAGTTTAATAGCAAATACGTACACAAGATGTTCTATGGTACATTTTTGAAAAAGAACTTGGGAGTCTGACATACTTGGATTCATGTCTTGTTTTGCCATTTATTGTGTGACCTTGGGCAGACCACTTAAACTCTGGTCTATAGTTTCCTGCTCAGTGAAATGAGATTAATTGCAATCCACATTCTGAGGATTAAATGACCTCAAGTAAGCAAATGCCTAACACAGTACAGTGCACATAGAAAACACCCTTCGGAGCTGGCCTCAGAGCACAATTGTTCAGTGCTTTGCAGAGGAAGCCAGATCACATACGACTGACTGGGGTTTGAAGCCCAGCCCTGGTGACAACTTGCCAGGCATACACGTGTGCCCAGGATCCTGACCAGATGGAGAGCTAGAGAAAAAAAGAACTGCTGCCTGACCAGACATCACTGGAAGGTGTTTCTTTCCCTCTGCCTTCTCTTGTGCAAATGCATGTGATCTAGCATAAATAAAAGAAAATAAAAATGAAAGGAAGTGCTCTTTGTACCTTTCTTGTTAAAGAGACCATAGATTCCTGATGGGTGTCTACACTGAAGTTTCAGGCATAAAGGTACAGGTAGGAATTGCAACACAGAGGATTTTACACAGGACTAACAAGTTGTTTTGATGGTAGTTCAGATTTCCATGACTAGTTGAGTTGGGTTGCATCTTGTTCAGTTGCTACCGTCCAGCCGCAGTAGAACAACCTGACACCTGCAGGCAGTCTGAACGCAGTCAGCTGGTCAGTGCTCTCTGTGATTGTAACAGAAGGCGGAATCTTCCTGGAGAGGCAGTGCTTCAGAAGTTGGGTGCATCAGGGCTCTCTCTCTCTCTTTCTCTCTCTCTCTCTTTTTTTTTTTTTTTTGCTATAGGGCAAGTATACTCGCCAGAGAGAGAGAGAGAATGAGAAAACACCTCCTCACCTCCTCAGGGGGATGGCCATGCCACAGTCCCTTCTCTTCCATTCTCTTGGGATTTTGGGCACATGTGCACCTAGCATGAATTAAGCTGCCGGGTCCAGTACTCAAACCACAGTCAGCCATGTGGGAGTCCAGTGACATAACCATTATTCCATGTGCTTGTCCAGGGCTCTCTCTTACAGGAGACACAAAAGGAGAGGCCAGCTCACTTCCCAAGTGTGCCTAGCTAGTCCAGGTCCTTGCCTTTCATTGTGCTCACTTCCCACGTGTGTGCAGACTCTCCCGGATCAGCTCAGCCCAGGCCACTCATACTCACCAGGGATGATACACACCAGAGACACCAATCTCGTCTATCATTTAGGGCTCACTCACTTGGCTCCCCCTTGCAGGGCATCTCCTTCCTGGGGTCGAGGTCCTTGGGAGGCAGCATTGAGCATTATAGTGTTGTCCACTGAGCCCAAGATGGCAAGACTTAGGCCAGTGGACAGCTTTGTCTAGGCTACAATTAAGCCTGATATATTAGCCTGTTAGAGCTTCCCTGGAGACCTAAATCTTTGGGTTTCCCACAGTTAGTTCTATATGAAATTTTGATTTTTCTATTAAAGAAGCAGCTTCCTGTGAATGCTGAGATGGATTGTTAGATAACATACATGACATGTACAAACAGAAACCTCCCTAAAAAAGAAGAAAAGAAAACCAGGGCTGACCCTGTCACCCTATGGCCCAATGGCTTGGTGCTTAAGGGAGTTAGATTCCTTGTGACCAACTGTGTAGCTCTAATCCCAGCCCTGGCGACTTGAAAAACATGCTGGGTGTGTATGTGTGCTTGGCCAAGATCCCAACAGGATGGAAAAATGGAAAAGGGATTACTGTGTGACCACACCCCATTAAGGGCTTTCTCCCTTTACCTCTCTCTTCCGGTCTTTTCTAGTGAATGCACACACATTCTGGCAGATTAAAAGAAAAGGCACCACCTTGGGGACCAGCAGGTGGCAATGGTGTTTAAGAAACTGGGCTCCCTCATGGTCGACCACAATTGGAGTCCCCGAACCCAGACACTTGAAAATCACACTGGGTGCATGTGCACATATACCCAAAATCCTAAGAGTAGAGTGGTAGAGACGGAGTATGGCATGGCCATCCCTCCTAGGGGGTGATTTCTCACTTTCTCTCTCTCTGTATCCCACGAGCAAATGTGCCCTGTGGCAAAACCAAAAAACTGCTACCCAGAAAACCACTTTACCATATTTTTCTCCTATAATATAATTTTTATATTTTAAATCACACATCTTCTTACCATTTTTTTTCAGCTTTTTTTTTTTTTTTTGGAGAGGTTTTTGCCATAGGGCGCGTGCGCTCGCCAGACAGACAGAGACAGACATAGAGACAGAAAGCGAGAAATCACCCCCCAAAGGGGATGGTCATGCCGCAATCCCTTCTCCTCCATTCTCCTCTTGGGATCTTGGACACGCACGCACACGCACCCGGCATGAGTTTTAAGCCACCGGGTCCGGGACACGAGCCACGGTCAACTACGTGGGAGTCCAGCGACATAGCCATTACACTAACTGCTGGTTTCCCCATTTTTTAATTTTAGTGACTATAGAGTATTTTATGACTGGGTGTTCTATATTTTGACAGTTTCTCTACCATTGAATATTTAAGTAGTTACTGAATTTCCATAATAGTCCATATGATGATGAATAATGTGGGGCATAAAGCTTTTCATTTCTGTTGAATATTTCCCTTAGGGTTACTTCTCAGCATAAAGCTACTGATCAAATATTTGGTTGTCTCATGTGGCTTTTGGAACACTGTGGTTTTGCTTTCCAAATGCTTAAACTGCCATCAAAGTGTGAGTGAACCAGTTTCACTAGCACACCCAAGCAGTTTTTGTCATTTAAAATGTTTATGACTGATTTAGCAGGCACAGAATGATAACATGGTTTTGCTGTATCTACGTTGGTGACATTATCCTTATTGTGTGTTGGCTTGTGTTGATTTTTTATTTGCTACAGAGATCTGCAAAGACTTGGAGAACTTCAATCTGAACTGGCAGGAGTGGCTGACTTTTCTGCTACGTATCTTCGCTGTCAGCTACTACTCATCAAGGTTGGTCTGGCTCCCTTGCATTTATGATTGAGGCTAGGAATGCACTTGAATGTGTCCAGCAGTGTTTTTGGTCATAGGTGGGAAAACTTAGGATCTTTTGCAACTACGTAGCAACTGAGAAATGATGTACTCTGCCATGTAATTATATTTATCTCTAATTTAAGAAATGGTAACTCATAAAGGAATTTGAATTTTTGAATTTTGGGAGAATTCGTCTACCATTCTATAATTAAAGCAGCTTGTATAATCATTTTAATTAGAAACCCAAGGATCTTAAATGTTTTGTATAATGTGAATAGCAAAAGACTTACATGAACTTGTATACCATTTTCTTAAGCATGTTCATTTCACTGTCAAAGTGAAAAACGATCATTTCAGGGGCCAGCAGGTTGGCGTGGTGGTTAGGGTGCTGGATTCCCACATGGCTTACTGTGGCTCGAGTCCAGGACTTGGTGGCTTGCTTTCTCTCTGTCTCTCTATGGTGAACATATAACAAATTTAAAAAGTAATAATAATGATAAAATTAAACAAATAATCCTAAGAAAAATAGGTTAATTTCATTGCTCCCAAAAAGGGCCAACTTCCTGCCATTTCATACTAAGTATCTCTTTCCTTCTCACACACACATACAATTGGTACCCATGAAACTATTTAGATTTGCCAAGTTAAACACCAAAAAAACAATGAAAGTAGTTCATCTTTCGGCTTCTGCAGAATTTTGCTATAAATTTAATCTCAAGATTGAGGATAAACATTTATCCTAAAAACAAAGCGTTCTTTGTCTTTAAATTTACTAATGATATTTGGCCAAAGTCAGAATACATGGGGGATTCAGAAATTGCTTTCTACTGTAAGATGTGTGATCTTGTGCTAAGTGTTATACTTAGGGTGTGTAGGTGTGTGTATATTTGTAAAGGTGAAGTGTACACTATGGTAGGTTGGGATTTAAATAACTCTTAGTAGGCTAGATAAATTCCTTCAAATGAGGGGCCAGCAGGTGGCATGGTGGTTAAGACACTGGACTCCCGTGTGGCATACTGCAGTTTGAGTCCTGGATATGGGTGGCTTGAAATTCACATCAGACGCTTGTGTGTGCCCAAAATCCTAAGAGGAGAATGAAAGAGAAGGGATTGTGGTGTGGCTATCCCCCTTGGGAGGTGATTTCTCACTTTCTCTGTCTCTGTCTTATCTCTCTGGCGAGTTCATGGACCCTGTGGTAAAAAATCTCTAAAAATAATTCCTTCAAATGTGTTTGTCTTGTAACTACCACCACAGGCAAGATATAAAATATTTCCATCATCTCATAAAGTCTCTTTGCCAAGCTATTTGGTGTTTCCAAGCCTCTAAGAGAGAGTTAATAACTGTCCCCCTTGTGGACAGAGAAGGCTTGGTGAGAGCCCTGGCTGTCAGGTACACAGTGAGACCATGGAAGTGTGGCCTCCTTCCTTCTTCCTTGGCTTGCTCTCTTCTCTATCAGAATACAAGGAGGTCTTTGAAAAGAATCTGTCTGGGGCTTTCAAGTGACTTGGTGGTTAAGGCACCGGGTTCCCATATGGCTGACCATGGTTTACGTCCCAACATGGTGGCTTGCTTTCTCACTTTGCCTCTCTGTCTCTCTGGTCAAATTAAATAAATAAATAAATAAATAAATAAAGATAAAATGATTCCTTAAAAAAAAAAAAAAGAAGAAGAAGAATCTACTTTTCTACAGGAGAGAAAGATAGGGGAGAAAGAGAGTGGTCCTAAGGGGAAAAAACACAATTGACTACTTCGTGTCAAGGTGAGTAAGAAGCCCGGATCTAGAACTCCAGGTAGCCTTGTGTTAACGGAAGAGCTGAATAGATCGCAGCACTTACTTGACAGGGTATTTTGTCCCTAGTGCTAATTTTTGTGAAGAATTATGCAATATACATTGTAAAATACTTACAATGTAATGTTATGTACTCAAAAAAAGGTACGAAATAATTGCTTTCTGACTGCAGCTATATAAAAACCACGCATATGAGGAATGATTGGAAGTAAATATTCAAACCGTTTCTGTATCGTTGTCTAGCCCTGCTGCTGTCCACTGATAGCTACCAGGTACCTGGGACTGTTGAGCACTTGAAAGGCTGTAGTTCCCACTAATTGTACTGCATGTACAAAGTACATACTGGACCTTTTAGACTTAGCATGAAAAAGGTGTCCATTATTAATTTAAAAAATACTGTATCAGTGAATTTCTAGTGTCTTGTATATATATTGAGTGTAGTAGTCTGTATTTTAGGATCAGCCCTGTGGCTTAATGGTAAGAGAGCTGGATCCTGCACAACTGACTACAGTTCAAATCCCACCTCTGTGGCTTGAAAAATACTCTGGGTGCCTGTGTGTGTGTGTGCCCCAAATTCCATCAGGATGAAGAACTGGAGGAGAAGGAATTATGGTGTGACCATACCCCACTAAGAGGGGTACTGTCTTCCTCTCCTCCTCTCTGACTCTTCTTCTCTTTTTCTCTAATGAGTGTATGTGCCTTCTGGTAATTAAAAACAAAAACAAAAGCTATATTTGGAAAATTAATTTCACTTATTTTTTACTTTTAAAAATCGGCTATTAGAACATTTAAATTACATATATGGTTCCCACTATGTTTGTATTGGATACATTATGTCATTGTCTGTAATGAAGACATTCCAAGAAAGAAAGAGGTGATAGTGTAGATGAGAGATGAGGTCATTTGCATGGATGGCCAAGGAGAGGCATGTTAGGCTCTCAGTGATAGTTTTAAATATAGAGAGGTCGAGAGGGGGAGGAGTGCAGGAAAGCTGGTTGGTTTCTAGTTTGGGTATGTTGGTGACATGATGGGGCTGTTGCAAGGATTGTGAGCATAGGAACAAAGGAAAAAAGAGCCATAGTCAAGGAAGAAGGTCTGGGTGGCTCAGGTTAGGCTAGTGGTCTGAGAACAAGGAGACGTAGAGCCCAGGCAGCTGGTCAACCCTTCATGACTCTTATACTCCAAGTGTCAGTCTGGGATGCAGAGCCTCTTGGCCAAGAATTGGGTCTTAAGGATATGAGTTCATTTAGCCCAAACCATTGTTCACCTTTTGTCCATAGTAGATAGGGCTTATTGGCTTAAAGGAATAAACTAATTGAGAAGAAGTCTTAATTATGTGATCATGGTAGATTTTCAAGGCAAAGCAAAACAAAAATAAAAATCTCAAGTAGTGTGGCAGTCTGTGTGACCTCTGTGTTCTGTTCTCTCCTGCTCTATCTGGGTAGGCCTTGCAGGAAAAACTGTGGAATGTGGCTGCCCCTTTGTATCTGAAGCAGAGTGATTTGGCCTCAGCTGCGGCAAAACAGGTAAGCTTCTTGAGACCTGCTCCTCAGGTTGGTCTCCTTCCAAAATTGACTAGTCCAAGGCAGACCCATGGCTCCAGGCCTCTACTGTGGTCTTTCTGCTTTCAGACAGAAGTTAGTGACAAGAGAAACAGTATAATTACGGGACACAACCCTAACTTTGGAGTCAGGGAACCTGGATTCTGATCCCAGTTCTGCCTCTAATTTCCTGCATGATATTGAGCAAGTTCCTTAGCCTCTCTAAATTTTTCCTTCTCTGCAAAGTAGAGCAAGTAGGGACCAGCAGATGGCGTAATGGATACATTGCTGGACTTCCATGTAGTCAACTGCTGTTCGAGTCCCAGACCCAGTGGCTTAAAACTCACACTAGATGTGTGTGTATGCGTGCCCAAGATCCTGAGAGGAGCATGGAGGAGAAGCGCTTGCGGTGTGGCCATCCCCCTGGGGGCGATTTCTCGCTTTCTGTCTCTCTGCCTCTCCAGTGAGTGTACATGCCCTATAGCAAAAAAATCTCTCTCAAGAAAAGAAAGAAAGAAATTAATTAGATGATATTTTTAAAAGAATTTTTGTATTTAACTTTATTTATTTTAATTTGACCAGAGAGGGAGCTGGGGGAGAGAGAGCATGAGCATGCAAGCCACTAGGTCTGGGACTTGAACCGCAGTCACCCATGTAGGAGTCCAGCGTCCTTAACCACCACACCACCTGCCAGCCCTGAATTAAATTATTTCTAAGATTATTTTATGTTCTAAAATATTGATATTTCAGTTCTACTAAAATCTGCTAAATACTAACATTAACGTAGTATATTTTACAATCTTTCTTCTCAAATTGAGCTGAACTCAATTTGAAGTTGTTTATAGTTTTAGCTTATACCACCTCAAATGTTAGAAAGTCCTAATGTTTCATTTAATTGATTAAATATTTACCTCAAGTTTTTTTTTTGTTTGTTTTTGTTTTCTTTTCCTTGAGCAGTTCCCCTCTGTTCTTAAGTATCGAGACTTGGTGAGCTCGATAGTGAGTCTGTATTGACTCAGTGATTATGACCCAGAGGGAAGCTAGTGGAAGTGCTTGTGATTGTTGCATTACAGTTCACTAAATGATTTCAAGTCTATTTACCAATCCCATTAGTTAGGAATAAATTAATACCTAGGAATTAGGAATCACTGTCAATATTAACCCTAGCCCTAACCATGCCAAAAAGTATTAATACTTATTTTTCACTTTTCAGATGAGATAGTTAAAGCTCAGCAAGGTGATAGTGTTAAGACTGTAGGTGACAGAGTCAGGGCTTGATATCCAGCATCCTCTGATCCACAGGATCTGTTTTCTTTCTCCTGCACTGCCTGGTCTGTCATCTGATCCATATTCACTCTCAGATTACATATGTGGCTCACCGTAGGAGAGTGGAACTTAATGACTAGAACCCCAAAATGGGCCATATGAGGAAGGGTGGGACCAGGAAGCAGTAGTTCGGAAGGAGGAAAAGAAAGGAATTACCATTGTTGTGTATCACATTCTGTACTAAGCACTTCCAATGACCCATTTGATACTTTAAATTTTATGATGTTGTGCTGTTTCTTTTCAATTTACATACTGGGAAACTGAGGCACCATGTCATTGAGTTACCTTACTGTCAATGTTGGAGAGCCTGGAGTAATTTCTCTGACCCCATAGCCTTCTAAGGGAGGCAAGCACAGAAGGGAAAGAGGAGCTTCATTTGGATGGAAGTAGCTGGTTTGGAGAGGACTGAGTAAGAGTGTAAGATGTACTGAGCTGGATCTGGGGTCACAGACAATGTTTCTGCACTTGCTCCCTTCCCAGACTCCCTCAGACAGACCAGGCCCATAGAACAGTCTGTCTGTAATAGAAATACAAAACGTCATTAGTGGATGCTATGAGCAACCATATGCCAACCAACAAGAGAACATGGAGAAGAAGGACAAATTCCCAGATGCATGTAATCTACTAAGATTGAATCAGGAGGACATAGAAAACCTGAATAGATCCACAACAACCATGAGATTGAATCAGTAATAAATAACCCCTCCTCTTCCCCCCAAAAAGTCCAGATCCCGATGGCTTTTCTTCTGAATTCCACAAAACTTTTAAGTAAGAGTTAACCCTATCCTACTCAAATTATTTCTAAAGATCCAAAAGGAAGGAAACCTTCCAAATTCATTTTATGAAGCCTCCATCATCCTCATTTCCAAAACATATAAGGACATGAGAAAAAAGGAAAACTACAGACCAATATCTCTGATGACTATAGATGCAAAAGTTCTCAATAACATACTTGCAAATCGTATCCAACAACATATAACAAAGATTATTCATCATGACCAAGTAGGCTTTATCCCAGGGATGCAAGGGTGATTTAATATACATAAGACCATAAATATAATATACCATATTAACAGAAAGAAAGATGAAAACCTTATGATCATCTGAATTGATACCGAGAAAGCATTTGATAAAATACAACATTCTTTCATGATTAAGACTCTCAGTAAGATTGGTATAGAAGGGTCATTTCTCAACACGATAAAAGCCATATGTGGAAAAACCCATAGCTAACATACTGAATGGAGAAAAGCTAAAGCTTTTCCACTAAAAACTGGTATTAGACAAGGCTGCCCACTTTCTCCACTACTTTTTAATATAGTGCTGGAAGTCTTAGCCAATGCAGTCAAAAAAGAGAACAATATAAAAGGCATTCAGATAGGCAAAAAAGAGTTGAAAATATCTTTATTCGCAGATGACATGATGGTATACTTAGAAGACTCAAAGGTTTTCATGAAAAAAACTTCTTGAAGTAACAAATGAATACAGTACAGTGGCAAGATACAAAATCAACATCCAAAAATCCACAACATTTCTATATATGAATAACAAGTTGAATGAAGTAGAGTGAAAGAAAGGAATCCCTTTTACCATAGCCACAAAATGCATAACACACCTATGGATGAACCTAACTAAGGAAGTCAAAGACCTTTACAAAGAAAACTATGAAAATCTTAAAAAAGATTGAAAACGACATAAAAAAATGGAAGGACATCCTATGTTCCTGGATTGGAATAATTAATATAATCAAAATGACAATTCTACCCAAATTAAGCTACATATTTAACACAATACCAATCAAAATATCAGAGACATTCTTCACAGATCTAGAAAAGACAGTCATAGAATTTGTCTGGAATCATGAAAAACCTTATATTGCCAAAGCAATCCTCAAGAAGAGTGGAGTGGGCAGCATATCACTCCCTGACTCCAAGATATACTATAAAACTTCAGTAATCAAAACAGCATGGTATTGGCACAAAAACAGACACAGTTGGCACAAAGGAATAGAATAGAGACCCCAGAAATAAACTCCAAAGCTTACAGCCAACTGATTTTTGACAAAGGATACTAGTCAATCCACTGGGAAAAGGAAAACCACTTTAGTAAATGGTGCTGGAAAAACTGGGTATCTAACCGGAGAAAGATGAAACTGAATCCATTAACAAAAATCTTTGACCATTAGCAAAAATCAGTTCAAAATGGATCAAAGATCTGAACCCAAGACCTCAAACTATAAACCTACTGGTGGAAAATACTGGGGAGACTCTGGGAGACATTGGGATAGACAAAGACTTGTTAAGTAAGACTCCCAAAGCACAGGCAACAATCCCTAAAATAGACAGCTGGGACTATATCAGACTAAGACGTTTCTGCACAGCAAAGGACACAGTAATTAGTATGAATCGACAACCCTCAATTTGCAATTTTATTAGTAATTAAACTTTCACATTTTCACATCATCAACTAAGATGATTTCATTAACAGATGAAAGACTTTTTAATTGACAAAATAATTTATTCTCTTTTCACAAGGCATACTAAACTGATAACTCTTAAAAATTAAAGCATAGGTATTTAAAATTTCAGTCCAGAATTAAAGCATGTAAAATAAACTTAATTCCAGAGTTTTACCTAACTTCTTAGGTAAAGCTTCTTTCTTTATTTTTTAAAAACATAATTAATGTAATTTATTTATTATTTTTTAATTTCATCAGAGAGAGTGAGAGAGAAATTGAGAAAGCAAGCCTCCAGGTCTGGGACTTGACCCATGGTCAGCCATGTGAGAGTCTAGTATCCTAACCACCATACCATCTGTTGGTCCCTCTCAGAAGATCTTTGAACAGAATTCTGTGCTGTTCTCAAATAAGACTTTTTTTTTATCCCTCCCCCATGAATACTTGTTACTTTTTCCTCACAGATCATGGAAGAGACCTACAAAATGGAGTTCATGTACAGTGGCGTGGAGAATAAGCAGGTGGTGATCATACATCACATGAGGCTGCAGGCCAAAGCTCTGCAGCTAATAGTTACGGCACGGACCGCGCGAGGGTAAGAGGTGGATTGGCCAGAGGGTACGGCATGTTCCTTTCAGAGACACTTCCAAAAGCATCTGGGGATCTCACCAAGGTTATTATAAGTAAAACAAGACATAGGGAAGATTAGCTAAGGGAAGTGTGATCTATTCATTTTTTTCAGATATTCCACATTTTGTTCTTGGTTCAGATTAGAGTCTTCAAAATGCGATTATATATCTTTTTTTAAAACAATTATTTTATTTAACTTTATTTATTATTATTATCATTATTATTTTCCAGTTTGATCAGAGAGAGACAGAGAGAGAGAGAGAGAGGAAGAGAGAAAGCAGACCACCAGGTCTGAGACTTGAACCGTGGTCGGCCATGTGGGAGTCCAGCGCCTTTAACCACCATGCCACTTGCCGGCCCCGCGATTATATCTTTTGCTCAAAACTGACTGGGGGCTCTCCATTACCCCCGGCACAGCACAGGGCTTATTTGCAACAGGGACATTGTGTTTGGTCCCTCCTGAGAGGTTTAAAGAATTTAGTGCCAGAAACCTGTTTTTCTCTTCTGCAGGGACTAGTCAGCTTTCTCTCAGGCAGTAAAGACCAATGGAGAAGATGTACTCTGAGGTCAGATGACTTTTTTTCAGATCCTGACTTCCCTATCTAGCTTAATTATGAACACTTTTTTTTTTTTTTTTAACCTTTCTGTGCCCTTTTTCCCTGATACAAAATGAGAATGATGACAGTGTCTGTCTCATGGGGGTCAGAGGTATTTAATACTGTAAGAAACAGGTGAGAACCTTAGCATGTATGTAGTTAGAACTCAGTGTAATGGTAGCTCTAAGGCTTCCTGCTCATGAAATGGATTTATTTGATTGATTCTAAGATACGTATTTTTTTAACTTTATTTTTTAAAGAATTATTTATTTAATTCTATTTGTTGTTATTTTTAAAATTTGACTAGAGAGAGAGAAAGAAAGTGAGAAAGCAAGCTGCCAGATTTGGGACTCGAACCATGGTCCACCATTTGGGAGTTCAGGGTCTTAAACACCACACCATTTGCTAGCCCTGAGATACATATTTTTTTATTACTGTAACTTCTCTGAAATCAAACTTTTTTTTTTTTTAGAGGTTTTTGCTATAGGGCGCGTGCGCTTGCCAGACAGACAGAGAAGAGAGACAGAAAGTGAGAAGTCACCCCCAGGGGGGATGGCCACGCTGCAATCCCTTCTCCTCCGTATTCCTCTCGGGATCTTGGGCACGCACACACACGTGCCCAGCGTGAGTTTTAAACCACCAGGTCCAGGACGCGAACCGCGGTAGACTACATGGGAGTCCAGCAACATAGCCATTATGCTAACTGCTGGTCCCTAAATAAGGTATATTTAAAGAGCATTGGCATGGTAGATTTGCTACAGTACAGCCCATGTAACTGGTTGCCAGCTCGCAAACATATTTGCTGCTCGGTCCAGCTGGTGTCAACCTGAAAGTGGCATAGTGAAATAAATATGAGTGTTCAGGTAAGTACTAAGAATATAAGGTCAGAGAGAACATCCTGAATGTCCTTTTTATTTCTTTACTTTTTTTAAAAAAATTTTGCAAGAGGATGTGTGCACTTGCAAGAGAGACAGGGAGAAAGTGAGTCCTATCGTTGCCACAGGAATGGCAATGGTGCAGTCCCTTCTCCCCCACCTCCCTCTCCATTCAGGATTTTGGGCATGCACACACATGTATTTGATGTTTTTCAAGCCACTTGCTTCAGGACTTGAACCATGTAGTTGGCTATAGGAGAACCAGCTGCTTCAACCACCACACCATTAACAGGCCCTCCATTTATCTTCATAGTGACCTAATAAATTAAGATAGCTGTTTAATCTTAAAGATATCCATGGGTCAGCAGGGAGCATAGTGCTTGGTGTGCTGGACTCCCAAAATGAGTGGCCATGGTTTGAGTCCTGGACCTAGCAGCTTGAAACTCATGCTGGGTGCATGTGTGTGTGTGCCCAAAATCCCAGAAGAATAGAGGAGAAGGGATTGTGATGTGGCCATCCCCCTCGGGGGTGATTTCTCACTTTCCCTCTCTCTCTCCAGCAAGTGCATGCCCTAAGGCAAAGACTTTTTAAAAAATCCATTATTCATTTAACAAATATTTAATTTCACTGCCCGGGGGGTGATTTCTCACTTTCCCTCTCTCTCCAGCAAGTGCATGTGCCCTAAGGCAAAGACTTTTTTTAAAAATCCATTATTCATTTAACAAATATTTAATTTCACTGTGTGCCGGTCATGGCTTAGAAATGAAAGGTTATGGTGGCATATATAATTTTTATTTAAAAAAAAATAGGTATTTTGGGGCCAGCAGGTGGCATGGTGATTAAAAGCACTGGACTCCTACATGACTGACCACAGTTCGAGTCTTGGACTTGGCGGTTTGCTTTCTCATTTTCTCTCTCTCTGTGGTCAAACTGAAAAAAAAAAATGACAATAAATAAGTTATTTAAAAAGAGAGAGTGTGTGTGTGTGTGTGTGTGTGCGCGCGCACGTGTGTGCGCATGCATGCATGTAGTTATTTATTCTGGGGCCAGCAGATGGTGTGGTGGTTAAGGTCCTAGACTCCCACATGGCCAACCATGTTTCAAGTCCTGGACCTGGCCGCTTGCTTTCTCACTTTCCCAATCACTCTCTCCATGTCTCTCCCTAGTGAAATTGTAGTTGAAAAAAGTGACAGAGTATATGAATGTTCTTTGGTAATCCACATATTCTGAAACAACTGTCATTTTTTTCATGTATGTACTTTAGTTTTTTTCCCAAGTGATGAAAACGTGTGCTTTATAAGTGTGTGCATATTAACTTGAGTAAGTTAATGTAGTTGTAGTATACTTTGCTGCTCTGTTCCTAGACCTTTCCCTGGTGTAATAAAAGTGACAGAGTATATGAATGTTCTTTGGTAATCCACATATTCTGAAACAACTGTCATTTTTTTCATGTATGTACTTTAGTTTTTTTCCCAAGTGATGAAAACGTGTGCTTTATAAGTGTGTGCATATTAACTTGAGTAAGTTAATGTAGTTGTAGTATACTTTGCTGCTCTGTTCCTAGACCTTTCCCTGGTGTAATAGTCTTTACTTATTTTTTTTTTTTGGAGAGCCTTTTTTTGCTAAAGGCCCGTGTGCTTGCCAGAATGACAGAGAGAGACAGAGAGTCAGAAAGTGAGAAGTCACTCCCCAGTGGGGATGGCCATGCTGCAATCCCTTTTCCTCCATTCTCCTCTTGGGATCTTGGGCACACACGCACCCATGCCCGGCGTGAGTTTTAAGCCACTGGGTCTGGGACTCAAACGTGGTCCAGTGACATAGCCATTATGTCATCTTGTGGTCCCATAAGAAAATCCTTGTTCTGGTCCACCCTAGATGGCACAGCCCATAGCATGCTCGACTGCATTGCTGCACACCATAGGTTCAGCTACATGTTCAGATCCATGGGTTGGCCTGAAAACACCAGATGTGTGGTTGGGTGCTCGAGGTCCCGAGGAGTTGGAGGGCTGGGGAAGCAGGATCATCGCTTGGCAAGACCTGGTTGAGGGTACTTTCTCTTTCTTGCTTTTCCACATGCATGGATATGTTCTCTATCATAAATTAAAACAGTAAAATACTAAAATCCAGGTTGTAATTCCTTTTTTTTTTTTTTGGAGAGGTTTTCACTATAGGGTGCGAGCACTCGCCAGACAGAGAGAGACATAGAGACAGAAAGCGAGAAATCACCCCCCAGGGGGGATGGTCATGCCGCAGTCCCTTCTCCTCCATTCTCCTCTTGGGATCTTGGACACGCACGCACACGCGCCCGGCGTGAGTTTTAAGCCACCGGGTCCAGGACGCGAACTGCGGTTGACTACATGGGAGTCCAGCGACAGCCATTACGCTAACTGCTGGTTCCCTCTAATTCCTTTTTTATTTGTCTGGAACACAATCTCTTGAAAGGGCTTTTCAGAACAAGTGTGTAAGCAGTATACTCATTGAGACTTTACTTTTCTGAACTGCTTTTCTTTTGTTCTCAAACATGGATGGAATTGTTTTAGAACTCTAAATTGCTTTGGTGCCTTTTAGTATTTAATATCAGAGTTAGGATTTCTGATGTCAGTTGGTTCTTCTTCCTATCTAGTTAGTTTTTCTTTCCTGGCTCAAGCTGTAAAATTTTCTTTTTCCCTTTAGAAATCAGAAATCTCTTGGGGCCAGCAGGTGGTGCAGTGGTTAGGGATGCTGGACTTGCACATGGCCAACCACGGTTTGAGTCCCAGATCTGGCTGCTTCCTTTCTCACTTTGTATCTCTCTCTCTTGCTCTCCCTCTGGTCAAATAAAACAAACAAAAAAACAAACAAACAAATTTAAATCTTTTTTTAAAAAAAGAAATGTAGGTATATGTTCTCTTTCAGTATCCTTAGTCACCTTCTGTGGAACTCTGAATTTTCCATGTTGCTTTTAACTCCAGGATTTTCCCTCCTCCATTATTACTTAGTACTTTTCCCTTCATTCCAGTCTTTCATACTGGATACTGATCATCTGGATCTGTTTTCTCTGTATATATTCTGTTGTAATTTCAGTTTCTTTGTTTTTCTTTGAAATTTTTTATTTAATTTTATTTCATCATTCATTTATTTTAATTTGACCAGAAAGAAAGAGAGGGAAAGTGAGAAAGCAAACCATAGGTCCAGAACTCGAACCACGGTTAGCCGTGTGGGAGTGTCCAGTGGCCTAACTACCATGCCATCTGCTGGCCCCAATTTCTTTGTTTTTCTAGCCTGTATCCTCAGTAAATTCTTCAGTATCCTCTTTTAAATTTACCATTTCATTTTCCATCATTGTCCATTCCTATATTCATTGACCATTGAGTTTTATTTTTTATTATTTTTAATTTCTAAGTGCACCTTCTTTTCTACTGTTTTTGTTGCAGTTTCTCTTGCTTTATGAATGCAAGATTCTTTTAAATCTCTTTAAAATTAAAACAGTTCTTTTGTGTGTGAGGGTGCATGTTCTTGTCAGAGAAAGAGAAAGAGGAAAAGAACACACCCTCCGTGGAGCAAGGTCACACTGCAGTCCCTTCATCTTTATTTCCCCTCCTTTCAGGATTTTGGTCACACACATACGTGCACATGTGCGTATGTGCTTGGCATGTTTCTCAAGCTGCTGGGTCCAAGACTTAGGAACCATGCAGTTCGCTTTGTGGGATCCAGTTGTGTTAATCATCATGCTATGTGCGGGCCCCTCAGATCTCTTCTTAATTCTCCCTGGGGTTACTTACTAGATTGTTTTTTCAAGTCTTCTGTGCTTTCTTGCCTTGACTTACCCATTGAGGGTCACTTGGTCTCCTTTACAGCTCCTGGTTACCCTTTATAACACCTAGTAATGTTCCATTTTCCTTGCATCCTTATGAATAAGCGTCTAGTTTATTGGTGGTCTTTTTTTTTTTGAAGAGGTTTTTGCTATAGGGCGCATGTGTAGAGACAGAAAACAAGAAATCACCCTCCCCAGGGAGGATGGCCATGCCACAATCTGTTCTCCTCCATTTAAAAATAATTATTGTATTTATTTATTTCTTTAATTTTATTTTGATCAGACAGAAGCAGAGTGTGTGAGAGAGAGGAAAAGTGAAAAAGCAAGCCACCAGGTCTGGGACTCAAATCATGGCCATGTGGGAGTCCAGCACACTTAACCACCATGCTATCTGCCAGCCCCGAGTATTAGTCCCATTTTTTTTTTTGTTTGGAACCTTATTCCTTCAATGAATTTTTTATATATATATGTGTGTGTGTGTGTGTGTGTGTGTGTGTGTATGTATGTATATATATGTATATGTATGTATGTATGTATTAATAATTATTTTATTTAACTTATTTATTTTAATTTGCCCAGAGAGAGATACAGCGAGAAAGAGAGAGAAAATGAGAAACAAGCTGCCACATCGGGACTTGAACCACATTTGGCCATGTGGGAGTCCAGTGCACTTAACCACCACACCACCTTCTGGCCCCCGATGAATAATATATCAGTGAAAATAATTGGGGAGTTTTGTACAGACATTGCATACAAGAAAAAAGAAAGTGCACAAAGAGCACAAGGAAATAACTTCTGTGGGATTTGTGAATTATACTGGCCTAGCACATTGCCTGGATTATTTAGGTATGCAGTAAGTCCTGAAATGCGGTACTCTCAGTACTGTGCGGCTTCAGAAGCCAGGAGAGTAGTCCCTAACCCCCTCCCCCTCTGTCTGAGAATTTACCTCTGACAGACTTTCTAGGTCTGTCTCCTGGAACCCCGAGAGTGTCAGCTGCATTAGTAGGTCATTTTGTCATGGAAAACATGGCCTCCAAGTAAACTGCATCTAGACTAGAAGGGCCTGTCAAGTAGTTTCCTGATGCAGACACCAGGACTTCACTGGGTGCCGTGGTTCTCATCACTGGATATATCCACCGTGGGCTCTGGCAGCCCTGTCTGTGGAATTGTCTCAGGAGATAGTAGCACCTGCAGGGTAGGAGGCTTCTGAGCCAGGGTGGGCTCTACCCCTGCCTCTGGTGGATAGCATGTCCTTGCACCCTGGTTATCAGATACGGGATCAAACCTTCTAGGCAGCTGCGTGGACTGCGGCGAGGACTCTAGCAGAAGGGGAACTCGACACTGCGCTGCCTGTAGGCTGCACCCTGACTGGGTCCCCGTCTCAGTGAAGTGTGTTCTCTTATAGTCTTTGATTTCGAATGTTCGTAAAGCCTCATGGTGTCTCAGGATCCTCACTGGTACTTCCCTCTAGGTCCTCTAGAGTCTTTTGTCTCTTTTCGTGAACGCTTTTATAGTGCAACATCCTTAATCTCCTCTCATATAGGCTCAGGTTTCTGGGACTTTTGGTCCCTAGTTCTTTTTTTCACAAGGAAGTTATTTATTTTGCATTTCTTTTCTACAGAGTTGACCCCTTATTTGGGATGTGTGAAAAATTTTTACAGGAAGTGGACTTTTTTCAGAGGTAAGTATTTCTTAACTTTTCTGGTTTATTAAGTCTTTGCTATGCACAAAGTAACACTTAGGAACACAGAGCAGCCATAGCCAGATGCTGTGGCTTAGCACACGCAGCCGGGCTGTCATCTGTGCCCTAACTTGGTATTTTCTATCGTGCTGTTTGGAGTTAGATCTTCAGAACTAAACAGACGGCCAAGTAATAACACCAGGAATCATGTGGATTCAGTGTTTGGCTAGGCCATAAAAAGACAAATATTATGAAGAAAACTCATCAACTCTTTTGTTGAGAAATCACAACTTGTCTGTTTTTTACACCACAGTTCTTTTTTTAAATTATTTTTAATTATTTACTTAATTTTGTTTGACTAGAGAAAGATAGGCGATAGGGGGAGTGAGAAAGCAAACCGCCGGGTCTGGGACTTGAACTGTCTTTGGCCATATGGGAGTCTAGCACCTCAATCACCATGCCATCTGCTGGTCCCTCACCACAGTTTTTTAAAAATTATTTTATTTAACTTTATTTATTTTAATTTGACCAGAGAGGGACAGAGAGAGAGAGAGAGAAAGAGAGAGAGAGAAGGATAGTGAGAGTGGGAAAGTGAGAGAGAGAGAAGCTGCTAGTCCGGGACTTGAACGACGGTCGGTCATATAGTAGTTAGTGCCCTTAAGTACCACGCCACTTGCTGGCCCCTCAACCACAGTTTTTAAACTTGTGTCTTTTTTATACTCGAGAGTTGTTCTGAAACTCTGCAGGTAATTTTCATTTTGTAGAATAGCTGTGTTGTCTCAGGGTTCCATATGAAACGAATCAGTTAAAACAGATGTATAGGGCCAGCAGGTGGTATGGGGTTAAGGCACTGGGCTCCTGCATGTTCGATCATTGTTCGAGTCCTGGAACTGGTGGCTTGCTTTCTCACTTTCCCTCTCTGTCTGGCCAAATTAAAGAATAATAACAATAAATAATAAATAATGCTAAATAAACAATTCCTAAAAATAAAAGTCAAACAGATGTACTAGATGCATATAAGGTTTAGCAAAGAAGTGGGCGTTGAGGTAGTGACCAGATCCCAGTGTGCTGGCAATTCAGTACTTGGGGGAGGATATTTATAGGAATGCAGAGCCCTCAACCCAATCTATTTCTAATTCCACTTCTTCTTTTTTTTTTTTTAAAGAATGATTTTTTTAAAAAGAATTATTTTATTTAACTTTATTTATTATTATTATCATTATTATTCTCCAGTTTGGGGAGAGAGAGACAGAGAGAGAGAGAGGAAGTGAGAAAGCAAACCACCAGGTTCGAGACTTGAACCGTGGTTGGCCATGTGGGAGTCCAGCGCCTCTATCCACCAAGCCACCTGCCGGCCCCAAAAGAATGATTTTATTTAACTTACTTTCTTTTTCTCTTTCTCTCTTTCTTTCTATTTGACCAGAGAGGGACAGAATGTGAGAGTGAGAGAGAAAGTGAGAAAGCAAGCCGCCAGGTCTGGGACTTGAACTGCGATCAGCCATGAGGAAGTCCAGTGCCCTTAACCGCCATGCCAACTGCCGCTCCTCCTCCCATTTCTTTTTATTCGTTGTCTCTGCCCTCATGAACTTAAACAAACCCTGAGGTTTCAGGGATTCAACACTTTTCATTGTTTTTGTTTTTTTAAATTTTTGCCATAGGGTGCATACACTTGCTGGAGGGACAGACAGACAGACAGATACACTGAGAAAGCACAGTTCTCAGGAGTGTTTTTTTTTTTTTTTGTAGAGGTTTTTGCCTTAGTGCATTTGTACTAACTGGAGAGAGACAGACAGTGTTAGTGCATTTGTACTAACTGGAGAGAGACATAGACAGTGTAAGAGAAAGTGAGAAATCACTCCCCAGGGTGGATGGCCGTGCCACAATCCCTTCTCCATTCTCCTCCCAGGATCATGAGGATACACGCACACACACCTGACCTGAGTTTCAAGCCACTGGGTCTTTGACTTGAACTGTGGTCGGTCATGTGGGAGCCCAGTGACATAACTGCCGTGCCATTTGCTTGACTCCCCTCAGGATTTGAATGTGCACACACATGTGCCCAGCATATTTTTCTTTTCCTTTTTTTTCCCCAGAGATTTTTGCTATAGGACGTGTGCTCACCAGACAGAGACAGAGACAGAGAGACAGAAAGCGAGAAATCACACCCCTTGGGGGGATGGCCGCGCCACTGTCCCTTCTCCTCCATTCTCCTCTCAGGATCTTGGGCACACACTCATGCATGCATGCACACTGGTGTGAGTTTTAAGCTGCTGGGTTCAGGACTCGAACCACAGTCGATTACGTGGGAATCCAGCAACCTAACCATTATGCCATCTGCTGATCTCTCCCAGCATGTTTTTCAAGCTACTGGGTGTAGGGCTTGAGCCTTGCAGTCAGTCATATGGAATCCAGCAACCTTAACCACCATGCCACTGGCTGGCCCCTCTGGTTATTTTTTATGGGGGTGATAGATTGTTTCCTGTAGGGCTGGGTTCCATTACCACTCTTCACCAGCAGGTGATGCTCTCTAGCAAATGGTATAGTCTAGCTTGACTCCGATGTTCGCTTAGTCTGAAATCAGCTCAAGCCTCTCTTTTGGGTTTAGCTTCTCTAAGATAGCAAGGCTGCCTTTCCACCGTTGGGTTGAAGAGTTTTTGGGAAAGATGACAGCTCTGAATTGCCAGAGTTCTCTGTTGTTATCTAGAGCTGCATGTACTTTCTTAATTCAGCTGCTGAGGCCCTGTACAGAGAGAACCTCCTTAGCGAAATTGTTTTTGAGCATCCTCTTCCACCAGGCAGATTTACCGTGGAAGGACTCTGAGCCAGGAAAGGGTTTTGTAGCTTTTTTGAGCCTTGATGAAACATTAATCTCTTGGAGTGACATCATTCTCTCAGAGCCTTGGTGCTTTTATTACTCGACTATAAACTAGATTAAAATAGTCATTTTGGGGGTCAGCAGGTGGCATAGTAGATAAGGTGCTGGATTCCCACATCGCTGACCTTGGTTTGAGTCCCAGACCTGGATGCTTGAAAAATCACTGAGCATGTGTGTGTATGTGCCCAGAATCCCAGGAGGACAGTGGAAGGGAAGAAATTACAGTGTGGCCATCCTCTCTGGGGCGTGATTTCTCATTTTCCCTCTCACTGTCTCTGTCTGTCTCTCTGGCAAGTGCATACACCCTATGGCAAAAACCTTGAAAAAATACAAGTCATTTTGGTCCAGCAGGTGTCCTGATGGTTAAGATGTTGGATTCTAGGGACCAACAGATGGCATAATGGTTACATCACTGGACTCCCATGTGGTCGACCATGGTTTGAGTCCCAGACCCAGCATCTTGAAACTCACACCAGATATGTGTGCATGCGTGCCCAGGATCCTGAGAGAAGAAGGGATTGTAGCTTGGCCATCACCCTTGGGGGGGTGATTTCTTGCTTTCTGCCTCTCTGTCCTCTCTGTCTCTCTGGTGAGTGCACACACCCTATAGCAAAAATCTCTCTATAAAAATCAAAATTAAAAAGAAAGATACTGGATTTCATGTGGCCAACTCTGTGGTTGTTGTTTGGGACTGGCAGCTTGAAAAACGCATCATGTGTATGCATGCCCAAAATCATGGGAGAAGAATAGAGGAGAGGAGATTGAGGCTCATCCATCTCCCAGGGGGTTGAGTTTTCTCTTTTCCTCTTTCTCTGTTGAGCACACATGCCCTATGGCAAAAGTCTAAAACAAACAAACAAACAAAACAGTAATTTTCTTCTCATTTGTTCACTGCATGTTCTCAGCACCCGGACGGTATGTGGCTCTTGGTGTGTCCTAAAACGTATTTATTAAACAAATGAATATGAATTGTGAGGGCCAGCAGGTGGTGTGGTGGTGAAGGGTGCTGGATTCCCACATGGCTGACCGTGGTTTGAGTCCCAGACCCGGTGGCTTGCTTTCTCACTTTCTCTCTCTGTCTCTCTCACTCTCTCTGGTTAAACTGAATTAAATAAATGAATAAATAAAGTTAAATAATTCTTTAAAAAATATGAACTGTGAAAGTAAAGTATTTTTAGGCATTATTTATTTTAATTTTATTTATTTATTTATTATTTTTAATTTGCCCAGAGAGGGGGAAAGTGAGAAAGCAAGCCACCAGGTCTGGAAGTCAAACTGTGGTCGCCCATGTAGCAGTCTAGCACCCTAACCACCACACCACTTGCTGGCCCCAAAATAACGTTCCATCAGTGTACAGGGTCGTTAGGGGTAAATCAGATCATGTAAAACACAGGTATGCCTGGTACATGGTGGTTATTCAGTAGGCAAAAGCTCTTACGATCGTAGGACTGAGGCGTGATTAGGGGTACCCGTGTCTCTGTCCTGGTGCTTGAGCTCCTGCTGCCCGTGGCTTTTCCTGTCTGCGGATTTGGTGGACGTCTGGGGCTCTGAGAAGTTAAATCATGGCCTTCCAGTGTGGCGGCAAATGGATGCACAGTTGATTGTTTGTTCCTGCAGGTGTTTCATCGCTGATTTGCCCCACTTGCAGGACAGCTTCGTGGACAAACTTCTTGACCTTATGCCCCGACTCATGACATCCAAGCCTATGGAAGTGGTCAAAATCCTACAGACCATGCTGCGGCAGAGTACCTTCCTGCACCTCCCCCTCCCAGAGCAGGTCTGGGTCTGTCACACCCCTTCAGGCCAAATCTGTCAGATGCTCAAACTGTTCACTTTGGTGATTTTTTTTTTTTTTTTTTGCTACCAGGCATGTGCACTCGCTGGAGAGAGACAGAGAGAGGGGAAGTGAGAAATCACTCTGCTGGGGGGTGGGGGAATGGCCACACTGCAATCCTTTCTTCTTCATTTTCCTTTCGGGGCTTTCAGCACATACCCGCACATGCACACATGTCCAGTGTGATATTTCAAGCCACCAGATCTGGAACCTGAACCGTGCAGTTGGCCGTGTGGGATCCAGCTCCCTAAACTCCATGCCACTTGCCGGCTCACTCCTTGGTGATCTTCTAGGACCCATCTAGCAGTTGGGGCCTTCCTTGATTTACTGCCACATGCCCAGCCTTAGAGGAGGAACAGAAAGGCAGGGATTGTGCTTGTTGCCCGGGGATGACCTGGCTTCGTATTCATCACATTCCTTGTTGCTCGTAGATCCATAAAGCCTCGGCGACCATCATTGAGCCCGCGGGCGAGTCCGACAACCCCCTGCGGTTCACGTCCGGGTTGGTGGTGGCCTTGGATGTGGATGCAACCCTGGAGCACGTGCAGGATCCTCAGAGCACTGTGAAGGTCCAGGTCGGTTGGGTTTTGTTCCCCATGCAGCTTCTAGACTGATCTGACATTGAGACCTTTAACTCTACCACCCCTGTGATCGGTCCCCGAGAGATGGAAACTGGGAAGGGAGAAGGTGGGAGCCTCCGTGGAAAAGAGTCCGGGCCTGAATCTCAGCTCTGCTGCCGAGTGTGGCCGAGCACGAGTTACTTGAAACTGTAAGCCTCAGAGTCTACAACTGACACATGGAGGTGATGTTGAAATGAGATAAAATAAAACCCTGCTGCTCAGGAAGGTTGCTAAATGGCAGGGGTCCTTCTGCTCCCACAGTGTGAGGGTAAGGCTTGGTCTCTTATTACAGCGGACTATAAGAAACGAGTCTTTTTTGGGCTATGGAGGGTTCAGCTGGTAAACAAAATTTATAGGTGGGATTTATCGAGTGGGGAGTAGCAGCTTGAAAAAAGAAGGGCAGAGTATGGGATGGACAAGGGTTTAGGAGAGAAGAGGATTATGGGGCAACTGGGCTGCAACATCCCTACCAGAGCTTCAAAGTTGACAGACTGGTGTAGCTGCCTACTCTTGTCTGTCTTCTTACTGTGTTAGAACAGAAATCCCCGAGACCAGGTGAATTTTAGAGACTAGAAGTTTATTTGCTTATTGAATTATTTAATTTTATTTATCATTATTATTTTCTTAATTTGCTACAGGGCATATACACTTACCAGAGAGAGAAAGGGAGAGAGGGCAAGTGGAGGAAGTAAGAAAGCAAGCCTCCAGGTCTGGGACTTAAACCTCTGTTGGCCATGTGGGAGTCCACGTCTCAACACCACGCCACCTGCTGGCCCCAAGAAGAGATGTATATTTTGACTCATGACTCTGGTGCCTGGAGAGTCCAAAGTTATAAGGCTCCTCACAGCATAGATCCTGAGCAGATGGCCGGCCGTCAGTTTCTGTGTCTCATTCTCTGTCCTCCTATACTACCAGACTCAGTCACGGGGACCTCACCCTAATGACATCATTACACCAAAAGACCCCACCTTGGGACATCATGAAGTGATTTTTCACGTGACACCTTTACAACGAAATGAGATTCCAATACATGAATTTCTGGGGGGCATCCAGATTCAAAAACCATCCTTTGGGGGATAACTCATCATCCAAAGCACAGCGGCTCCCTGTCTGTGTGTTTACAGTACAGGTATAGAGCAGGTCCTGTCTGAGAAACTGCATTTGTTCTTCTAGTTCATTTGTTCCCCCTGTAATGTAGCAGGCCGTCTACACTGGGAGGACCCCCAGACGCTCAGGAAGGAACTCGGTGGCGACTTGTAAGATCTGAAGGAACTGAGTAACTTGAGCAGACTTCATTGCTTTCTTGCAGTGAGACAGATAACTGACTTCCCAGCTGCTTCACTTCCAGTGGAGAGAATAGAGTTACAGAATAACTCCTAATACTGGTAGTTCGTGACCATGGTTAGTGATGGTGGCTGGCCCAGGATAAGATTCAGAGCAGAGCCAGGGAGGGAAGTCTTTCATCTGCAGTGGGTTCCTGGGAAGGCTGTTCAGTCAGAGTTAATACTCTTCCTTGTCCTTGCACTCAGGCAACAATGTTTCTTGCACTCGTTCACTGTGAATTCATTACGTTTCCTGAACACTGCTCTGCTCTGCTTTGTTGCCCTCACCTCCAAGTCAGGCCTTCCATCAAGGCTAGAGTCACCTTTCTTCTTCTTTGGGCTCATAACAGATGTCATGACCAGTTTTAGTAAAAATCTTTTCTGCCTCTTTTTTTTGTTTCTGTCACCTCTTAGGTCTTATATCCTGATGGCCAGGCTCAGATGATCCACCCCAAGCCGGGAGACTTCCGGAACCCTGGCCCTGGGCGGCACCGGCTCATCACTCAGGTGTACCTGTCCCACACTGCCTGGACTGGTAAGGAGTTGGGCCCAAGTGCAGCAAGAAGATGTGCCCCTGGGATCAGACCCACCCTGTAGCATTTGGTTTTGCAGTTAGAAAAAAATACATGATGATTTGAGTCCTCGACCCAGTGGTTTGAAAAACACACTGAGTGTGTGTGTGTGTGTGTGTGTGTGTGTGTGTGTGTGCGCGCACACCCCCCCAAAATTCCATGAAGAGAATGGAGAAGGGATTATGGCGTGGCCACCTCCCACCCAGGACTTCTCACCCTACCCCCCTTCACTCTGGTGAACGCACATGCCCTATATCAAAACTCAAAAAGCATAGATGGTTGAGTCAGGCTTGCTGAGGACCGAATTTGATTCCTGGGGGTATAAGCTTCCCCTTTGCCCTTATAGAAGCCGTGGGGTAAATAGAATAATTAATTGCGTCCCTTTATAAACTGGGCTCACATTCTGTCATCTGTATGGGTTTGGGAAGTCACAAAGAACCTCTCCGAGCCTCAAGACTTTTTAAAGATGGTGATTTTCTTTCCTGCTGTGGCATGATATGAACTCTGAGGAGACATGCTTAGCATATTGTGAGCATTCTCTTCCCAAGCCTTCTTGCATTCTTTTTTCTTTTTTTGAGAGAGATTTTTGCTGTAGGGCACGTGTATTGCCAGAGAGACAGAAAGCGAGAAATCACCTCCCACCCAGGGAGATGGCCACACCACAATCCCTTTTCCTCCATTCTCCTCTCAGGATTGTGGGCACACGCGCACATGTGCCTGGCGTGAGTTTTTTCAAGCCACTGAGTCTGGGACTTGAACCGCTATCGACTACGTAGGAGTCCAGCAACGTAACTTTTATGCTGTCTACCTTTATGCTGGTCTCACCTTCTGGCATTCTTTTCTCGACATTTCAAGTGCATTCCTTCACAACATACCCATCCCATAATACAGCTGAGGAAACAGACTTGATGAGAGCATATACTGTACTCCACTGCAGCGTAACAGCCAGCGCCTCGAGGAGAGGCCTTACTCTCGGCAGGGCTCGCCCTAGATCAGTATTGTAATGGGGCATAATGAAACAGTGCGAGGTTTTCTCACGTGATTTCAGCTCCCTGGAACATGTTCCCGTTTACTGGTGAGACATTCCTGGTGGAGCCATTTCCAAATGGAAGGCTTCTTTTCCACTAAGAAAGCGGTCTGTGGGGCACACAGCCTGAGGCTTGAGTTCGATGAGTACAGGGGGAGAAAAGGCCTCGCGCACATCGGGGCCTTCCCTCCTGAGGCTGGAAGGCATCTGTAGGACGGGGGTGTTTAGCTACTTTCTGGTGGTCTCAGCAGCCGTGGCTCTGAGCTGCCTGGAGCCCGCAGAGACCCCCGATGAGGACGTGCAGAGAACTGTCACCCCTGTAGGCGCAGGACCAGCCTCTGAATTTAGCCTGGGGATTTGTCCTGGATTGGCAAGAAGCATGCAGACAGGGAGAATGTTCTTGGAACCCTATCACTTCCATCTTCGATGTTGGTTTTACTTTTAAAATCTAATTCCTGGCAGCTTCCAGTCATGCATGATTCCTGTTGTTTTCCCAGAACCATGTCAGGTGGAAGTGCGGCTGCTGCTGGCCTACAGTTCCAGCGCTCGCATTCCGAAAGCCCCCTGGATCGAGAGCGGTGACGTGTCAGCCCAGGTGGAGACCAGCATCGAGGGCACCATCCCCTTCAGCAAGCCCGTCAAGGTCTACATAATGCCCAAGCCTGCGCGGCGCTGAGTCTTGCAGTCTTCACAGCCACGGCCCAGAAGACCTTCCTAGGTTCAGAGTCCTCAAAGTCTGGAGCGCTTCCCTTGGAAATGGTGTGCAGGGAGAAGGATCAGGAGAACATTTTTTTTTTTTAAATGTTTTTGCCATAGGGTGCTCACCAGAGAGAGCCAGAGTGAGGGAAAGTGAGAAGTCACCCACTGGGGAGATGGCCACACTGTAGTCCCTTCTCCATTCACCTCTCAGGATTCAGGGCACACACACACACCCAGCATGATTTTCAAGTCAATGAATCCGGGACTCGAACCACAGCAGCCATGTGGGAATCTAGCTCCTTAACCAGCCACCTGCTAGCTCCAGGAACATGAGATCCTTAAAGTCTCTTCTGGTTTTTGAAAACAGGATAAATTATTTTTGCATTAAAAACTAAAACCCTACAATTCTACTCCCTCAGCCTGCCCCCCTCGCCCCGCCATCCTGTAATAAAGTTGAGAAAACATCACGCTGCTCTAGTTCCTGGTCCTTCAAGAAACCCGCGTGGCTGTAGCATCCGTGTTTGTACCATGTACATATCCTTTAGGTGTAAAATACAAGGACGAGGGGCCAGTCTCCCAGCCACCTCTGACAAACTTGCTGTTTAAACCATGATGATAATAAATTAAAAATAAATCATTCTAAGAAAAAGAACTGAATGGGCAGGGCCAGCAAAGAGCATGGTGGGTAAGGTACTGGACTCCCACAGCTTAAACTCACTGCAGTTCAAGCCTCAGGTCTGGCGGCTTGCTTTCTCATTTTCTCTGGGTACTCCTCTATGTGCCCTATAGCAAATTTAAAAATAATGATAATAACTTAAATAATCCTTTAACCAAAAAAATAAAACATAAAAGAACTAAATGGCTGCACTAGGCGATAAGAACTGTCCATGCTGGATGTGCCTGAGCAGAGGCCAAACAAGCTCCTAGCAAGTTACTGCTAAGGAATTCAAGTACTCATCTGAGCTTGGGCTCAGCCTTTTAAATTCCTTTTACCTTGAATTACTAGGTTCTATGAAATATGAGAATTTTATTTTTTCTGGATCTGATTCCACTTTTTCACCGAAGTAGAAAAAAAGAATGGCCATGTATTTCAAAGGCCTGGAAGGGAGAGATTTTTGCTATAGAGCACATGCTTTCACTGCGAGAGAGATGGAGATGGAAAGTGAGAAATCCCCCCAGGGGGAATGGCTACACCACAGTCCCTTCTCCTCCATTCTCCTCTTGGGATTTTGGGCATGCACACACACACACCCAGTGTGAGTTTCAAGCCAGCAGGTCTGGGACTTGAACGGCAGTTGGCTATGTGGAAGTCCAGCTACGTAACTATTACACCACCTGCCGGCCCCACTATAATAATTCTTTAAAAATACTCTTGGTAACTAAACACTAAAATTACTGAGAAAAATCATATTTCTAGGTATTCTGTGCTAATTTGCAACTTCTACACCCTCACTGTATGCTTATCCTTTTTTCTTATTGTCAGAGGGCTTGTGCACTTGACAGAGACAGAGGGGTGGGGAGGAGAAAGCATCCACAGTTGGGTGTGGTCATGCTCTATTCTCTTCTCCATAATCTCTGTCCTACTGTTTTTGTTTTGAACTTGCCATAGAGCATGTGCACTCACTGGAGAGAGACAGTGAGAACCCCCCAGGGGGTGGCCACACTGAAGTCCCTTCTCCCTTTTTCTCTTGGGATCTTGGGCATGCATGCACACAAATCTGGCGTGTCTTCAATGCTCCCGGGTCTAGATTCAAGCCATAGGGTTGGCTGTGTGGGATCTTAGCTGCCTTAACTACTGAGCTTCCAGCTGGCTCCCTACTGGGATTTGAGCACACACACACACATGTACACAGGCCCATGTTTTGTTTCGTTTTTGTTTTTTCTAATAATTATTTTATTCATTCATTTATTTTGACCAGAGAGAGAGAGGGAGAAAGTGAGAAAGCAAGCCACCAGGTCCAGGACCAAACCACGGTTGGCCATGTGGGAGTGTCCAGCACCTTAACCACCATGCCACCTGCTGGTCCCAGGCTCATGTTTTAAAATACGCTGGGAATAGGATGAGAAGCTCAAGTCAGCCATGTGCGATCTGGCACCCTTAACCCTTAGGCTATGTCATGTGTTGGTATGCCGTCTATGTCTATTCCTGTCAGCGCATCTGTGGTGTACCTGGAAATGAGGGTCTGTGTTGTTGCATCTGTAGCACAACTCCTGGCACGTACCAGGCAAGGAAAAAAAGTGAATGTATAAATCCCTAACAAACTTAGCAGTTCTGGGACTAGCAGTTGGCATAATGGCTATGTTGCTGGACTCCCATGTAGTTGACCACACTTTGAGTCCTGGACCTGGTGGCTTAAATTCACGCCGGGCGCGTGTGCGTGCATGCCCAAGATCCCGAGAGGAGAAAGGAAGAGAAGGGATTGCGGCATGGCCATCCCCCCTGGGGGGTGATTTCTCGCTGTCTGTCTTTGTCTTTCTGGTGAGCACATGCACCCTGTAGCAAAAACCTCTCAAAAAACAACAACAACAACAAAAAAACTTAGCAGTTCCATAGCCTGCCTGCAAAAGCAAGCCAAGATTCAAGTTTCTGAAAGGACTTTATATTTGGCTTTGGCATGATTGAATTCAGCAAACAGAATTCTGGAGAAGAAAGGCACACCGAGCACTTGGCGGACTTGTCTTAGGAACCGCTCAGGCTAGAAGAAATGAAGTGTGGGCAGGCTGAGGGGTGTGCTACCTACAAACAGCATTTAGTGATTAAGTTGTGAGGCTAAGTATAATGTCATGTGGAAAAACAGCTTCTCTCGGGCTCTGGATGTTTCCAGGACTAACTATGTGGACCAGATTCAGAAGTAGGGGCTACTTATTAGCAGGTTTTAATTTTTTATTTATTTATTTTTTTAAAAGATTTTTGCCATCGGGCAAAATCTGTGCTCACTAGAGAGAGGGAGAGACAAAAAAATAAATAAATAAAATAAGAGAGAGAGAGAAATCTACCCCTAGTGGGATGGCCACACTCCAATATCTTCTTCCTTCTCCTCTCAGGATTCTGGGCCTGCATGCGCACGCACCCGACGTGATTTTCAAGCTGCCAGATCCAGGACTCAAACCGCAGTTGGTCATGTGGGAGTCCAGCACCTTTACCACCACATCACCTGAGACCCCAATTTATTAGTAGGTTTTATGCTAAGTTTAATAACCCCTCTGCCTAATGCCTAATACTTCTATCTCTAAAAAGTTTATAGTAAGCTTTCTTTAATGTGGAGACAACTCTCTTAGGAACAGTGATTATACCCACACCCAATTCAACACCCACTGGAGCTGTCTACATTTCAAAAAAAAAAAAAAAAGGATTGTATCCATAGAAAAAGTGTCTGGATTTTACCAAACATCCCTCATAGCCAGATAGGGCTGGCTTTACACATGCAGGGAACAGATCTGGTCTCTGACAGATGCAGAAAGAGTTGTAGAAAGTGCCCTAAGCAGGACCTCTCCAGACTTCTGTGCCAGGTGTCAGATCTGTGAGGCCCTGTCACACCTGCTGGCCTCTAGGGAGCAAGATAGTGCATGTTAAGAAAGAGATCAAGACACAACACTGGGTAAGCAGGGAAAATCCCTTCACTTTCCATTCTCATTGTTTTAGCTCATCTTTTCTTGCCAAGCCACATCTTTGCTGTCCAGTCCATGGTTTGGCCCCCCTTTATTATTTATTATTTAAAGAATTACTTTATTTAACTTATTTATTTATTTATTTTTATTTGACTAGAGAGGGACAGAGTGAGAGAGAAAGAGAGGGAAAGTGGTAAAGCAAGCCACCAGGTTCGGGACTCGAACCATGGTTGACCATGTGGGATTCTAGTGCTCTTAACCACCACACCACCTGCTGGCCCCTGGCCTCTCTTTTAAACAGATGCCTAAATGGGTCAATCAGGAGGTAGGATCACATGGAACAAACACGTCCACTTTTAGGGCTGCTGCCCCCCCCCCTTTTTTAAAAGTTATTTTATTGGAACCAGCAGTTGGTGTAATGGCTATGTCGCTGGACTCCCATGTAGTCAACCGTGGCTTGAGTCCCAGGCCCACATGTGCATGTGTGCCCAAGATCCCTAGAGGAGAATGGAGGAGAAGGGATTGTGGTATGGCCATCCCCCGGGGGGGGGGGGATTTCTCGCTTTCT